GGGCTCAGGTGGTGGGGCGAAGATTGGGTTGGTGGCGTGGATGCAGGAGGAGGGCGTGGGTGAGGGAGGACGGGTGTCCGAGTAAAAGTGGCTGAAGAACGAGACAGAGGGCGGTGGTGGGTTGTCTGTTGTTTGGTGTGGTAGATGGGGAGACGACCTGGTGAAGTGAAAACGGAGAGGGGAGCGAGGAGAGGATGGGACAGTGCGACTGAAGGAGGACGAGACTGGTGACGGTATCTGCAAATGTTGTTAGCTGGGGCAATAGCGCAGAACACAAAACATACGTCGTCTTCGTCGTGTTGTCTCCTGCGGGAGAACGACCAGGGCATGGTGGGTGGAGGTGAGGGAGTTGGTGCAAGAAGAAACTTGCCCTTTTTAGGCAATTCCCTTCAACTACACGCTCGAGCAGAATGCCAGTGATCGGGTCATGTACGCGTCGTCTAAATGCGTCTAAATTGTCCATTACGTCATTCTTCTAGGTTGCATCGATCGAATGATTCTCAGTTGAGTATCTTCCTTCTAGACTGGCCGCCGTTTGTATTCATACGAGAAGGCGCAGTCCTTTCTCTTCCTTCCTCACTCATCGCGAGTGCCGTCTAATCTACATCCTTTCCTATACAGGATCGATTGAGATGTGGACGCTCAGGGTATGATGGACCCGAGCTTCGTCCCTCGATGCGCGCCACGGCATGTTCAGCGACGTTCACGGCCGGCAAATAAATGGCGACGATACAGTGATCAATCATTCCAGCAGAGATGATGGTACGAGTCATTATCGCATGTTCTTCGCCGGGACTGCCAGTCACATATCTGCTCGTTTCATGTCAAGAGCCAAAGGAACTGGCTAACCGGTCAATTTTCCGACAGACACAAAGTGACATCTTGCGCAAGTAGACGAGCGGGAACGGGAGACTGGGTGATTGATGATGAAAATTTCAGGATCAAAGGCGATACGAATTCATTATAAAACCTTGGATTCGTGAGCGCTCATCCTACATTACCACAATATTCTATGGAGCTGATTCTCATCATGACATGCATGACAGCCGGTGCCGGAAAAACCGTTATCGCCCAAGTGTTTTAACAAACACCAACTACTCACTCTGATCAAAATCGGTTTGCTTTTAGGTCTCATATTCTCTCACCAAAAAGCACAAGAACACTGATGCTTGCTGTGGCCTACATTTATTGCAACTACAAAGAGCAAACAACACTTTACGACCTTGTTGCAAGTCTTTTAGAACAGCTTGTTGAAGATCATTAATAGTCTCCTACTTTTCAAAGATGTTGCTGGTGGTTATGAATTCCCTCGGGGAAGATGCTACCGTCCAACTCTGGAAGAGGTTCACAAGACACTCATGTCGGGAATCAAACGATTTTTGCAACCTTTCGTTGTTGTCGACGCTTTGGATGACATTACAGAACTTGGCGCCAACCGTCATGGACTGCTCGACAGGCTCCAATCCCTTGAATGTCATCTCCTGGTGACTTCACGCGATATCAACTCGATAGGGCATGCCCTTCGTAACGCCCTGTATATGCACCTTCGTGCACATCAAGAAGATATACTGGCGTATATCGAAGGTCATATCCTACCAGGAACAACACCGTAAAGGCTCATCGCTACAGATCCCCCTTTAAGAGAAGAGATCGTTGAAGGCGTTACGAAACATACAGAGGGTAGGTGAGTGCTTCTTTGAATCGTTCTTGAATAAGCTATATCTCAATATTGGATAAGGTTTCTCCCATGTCGTCCGCACGTAGGGTCGTTGGAAGCCATGTTCACTTGTAAACAGGTCCGGGATGCTCTCAAAAGTCGGCCCGAGGAGGTGAACACTGCCTACGATCAAACAATGATCCGGATCAACAAACTGGACAGGAAATGCCGGGAACTTGCTTTGACGGCTATCATGTGTATCACCCTCCGACCACTGGGCGATAAGGCGCTTCAAGAGGCTGCGACGCTTTCCCGTGGCGGTCTAGGAATCAGTAGCGAGGACCTCGTGGATATCAACGCCATATTAGGGGCCTGTATTGGTTTAGTTGAGGTCGATAGAGAACGTTCTGTGGATCGCCTAATTCGTGAGCAGTTCACAGTTCCAATGACGGCTACATCTCATCACTCTTTCATGAGACTACACTGCGCAGGACTCTTCACCACATGTAAGGGATGGCTATGCTCAAATCCTCCCTCTGAACTTGCCAATATTTGCCTTGAAGCGTTGTCACTACCGCCACCTGCTGATCGCTCTGATGACTGGCCATTCGGTGGGAAGTCGAGTGAGTATGCTGCGGACAACTGGGGAAATCATGCGCGTGGTCTGGTTGAGGAGACAATCAAGGCGATAACAACACATGGTCTTCTTCATTGCGAACAGAACATTAAAAGACTGGGGAATACGATGGACTCCCATGACTCTGTGAGGCATATATGCGCCTTTTGGGGGCTTAGCTCGAACCATTGAATGTGAACTACAAAACGGAGCTATTGTAGACCAACGAGGTCGTACAGGTGGAACAGCTCTGCACATCGCAACAAGAATGAATCATGTAGAGGTGGTAGGGCTACTACTCGATGGAGGCTATGACGTATATTTCACAGGACAGTGCGCATGACACCATTCTCCTACGCAGGCTGGTATGGACAGGTGGAGATCGCCAGATTGTTGCTGGCAAGAGATGATGTGGAGGCCGATTCCAAAAATGAGGAGGGCCGAACACCGCTCTCATTTGCAGCCTGGTATGGGAAATTGCAGTTCAAAGCGGCGAAAAATGGATGCGTGCCTCTTCTCTCTACAGAAGATATTGACGTGAACCTGCAAGACAAGTATGGAGACTCACCACTGCATTATGCAGTGCGTTATGGACATCAGAATGTAGCCTCCTTGCTTCTCTTGCATTGCAATATCGCACCAAATTTGAAGAACGTGAAGGGACAGACACCACTGCACTGCGCAGTCTTGGGTGTTGATGGAGAATATGATGTCAACTACAACTCTGCAAGCTCGCGGGAGGCTACTGTGAGCCTTCTTCTTGCGCGCAATGACGTTCGTGTTGGTTTGGAAGACGACAATGGATTGACAACACTGATGCTTGCTTGCTCTCTCGAGATTGCGTCCGTCGTAAAACTCTTTTGAAGAGTATACAGCGGGCTCGGGGTTTAGCTCTATGGATGAAAGAGAAAACCGCCTTAAGCGGACGCACAGAGCTTGGAATAGAACACCATCAATAGGCATGACGATTGTTGGTCATCAGACAATATATAGGAGAGATATTGCACTACCTTTATTATGTTCAATACCACTGATTAAAAAGCAATGTACTTCTCTTATATGGCTGACTTTACCTTCCCTCAATAATCACTGCTCTCATTTTTAGACGGTTCCCACTACCGATCAGAGTCCCATTCCCCCAGTATCCCCCACGAAAGCCCACCTTCACCGGACTAGTTGACTAATTTCATGACATTCAGTTTTACTGTGTCGAAAACATAGATCCGACGGTCAATAATTGACTCGCCGTAACAATAATACTATTTGGGCCGCAACGTATCATTTTCATACGGTTGGTGGACTTGTGTGTGTTTCGAGTTTCTACTTCTCTTCCTTGGAATGATTATCAAGACTGGCGTGAATTAGATGAAGATAGATGACGAATTCACCATAATATATTAACCAACACTAATAGGTGTTTAAAACGATGTCCCTAAAACTACAATAGTGTCAAGGTGTTGGTATTGGTGACACCCTTCTGATAACAAATCCGATCCGACGAGCCCCATGGGTGACACAATGATAAGAGCCCATAATACTGTCATCATGCGGATCAACTACGCGTGACCGCAGCTTCCAGCTGCTGAGCTGCTTGACGATCTCCTCGAAATGGGCCATGACTTCATTCATGTTAGGCCGTTTCTCAGGGTCATCTTGCACCATGTATTTCACCAGCGGTTCCATAAAGTCAAAGCCGTCTTTTGCCTTGATAAGGGGAGAAAAAAAAAAAGAACAATGAACAATGCGTGACAGCTCTCTTTTGGGAATCACAAAAAAAAAAAATGATACTCACAAGCAAGAATGAATTCCTGATCATGTTGCCTAGATAATATATATCCGTTGGAAATGGATTACAAGGTTAGCTTGACTTCTGGAACTCGGGAACGGTTTTGTCACCCCCATGTATGGCATCTTCTAGAGGCGCAACATCATTGGAACCATAGCGGCGCGATAAACCAAAATCGATAAATAAGTATTTCGGCGTGTGTTGAGTACGAGTGTAATATCTAGCCCGGCCTGTGTAGTCACGTTTCATTTCAAGATCTTGAGGGTGGTACGGGTCAATGAATAGAGACGTTGCATCCATCATAATATTCAGACCCATACAGTCACTGCTAACAATCCAGTAATGGACTGTAATGAGCGGATGAGAGATGCGTACCGATGAGCGACATTATTGCATAGATTGTAGGCCCTAGTAAACAAGACTGGTTTGGATATGTCTTTCAAGTGATTCACGAACTTGCAACGAAAATTTGGCGGAAAAAATCGATTACTTCGCCATAGGTATCGAACTGTGGATCGTCGAAAGACCGTAACAATGGCATGACGACAACGGCCTGATACTGATCATCCGGTACACTAAGCACGTCGTCTATCGGTGCGCAATGGTTGGCAAGGTCAGATACAAGTGGTTCTGTCGAAAAGAGCTGCCCTATTTCGATCTTGTAGGGGTATTGTGACTTGTTCAGCAACTTCAGGCTTACGAATGCTCCATCGGATAGGCAAGTAGCATCTAATACATGGCTTACCTGCAAATTGTCCCAATGTTAGTTGAAGCGACACACAAGATCACTACCACATGCGATGGGACTTCGGCTATCTTCACACTCCAACCATATCTTCTTGGTGCCATGCCATGAAGGACGCCAATCTGGGGCATATCAACCACAAAGCAGATACCCATTGTCCTTCAACCATCGATAATGCTTGCACCACCACGATTCGCCTGGACTAAGACCACCAGGACCGTCCGGTGGAGACGAACCAAACACCAAAAGTGACGGGTAAGCATCAAAAGTGCATCTAGTTCCATTCAATGGATCAGATAATCATAAACACGGACCCACAGTAGTAAAGGTTGATCTTGCATTAAGTCAAGATTCAGACCTGTCTGAGTCAATCCGGTTATCGTGATGCCCTGGCCGCAGTGATTATTACTTGACTATTGTGACACAAAAGGACTTGATTGGCATGTGTGTCTGACAGGTGACAGGCTTTTTCCTGTAGAATATGTACATATAAACTACTCACTGCACTCGTGGATAGCAGTGATCATTACTTGCTGTCTAAGACAGGTCGGCTTTTCACATTCAGATCTCAAACGTAATACTTATCTTCGAATTACCTCCCTTTCAGACTTCAGGATGGCAAACTCTACCAACGAAAATCTAACTAGCTTGCAGTACTTTCAGCTTGAATCCCTCATAGTAACTACGGTTTCAAGCGCCTCTTACTCAGTATTCTTACAGCAACTTCCAACCAGACTGGCTGGTTCTAAGCAAAATGTTGACGAACTGAAGAACTTGCGGAATCCTGGAAAAATGATAAGGTCATACTTTTTACACCGCAAATATGTCCAGCAAAGTTTTGAAGTCATGGTGGCCCGTGTGAGTTCCTTGTCAGACCGAGCTTCAGAATGCTGCTAATATTCGAGTAGGGTACTTCATTGTAATGGAAGTTACTGATGACGATTTGAATGATCAAACGATTATTGTGGGTGTATGTGCCGGTATAGTTACGGTTAACGAGAAGGATGAGTTCCGCTTGATCCGTGAGTCTGACTTATAGTTGAAGTATCTCCACTCATCACTTTCAGATTACACTGCGCCGCAATATTTTGACAGATATACGAAATGGCCCTTCCCAAACTTACACGCAGAACTGACCAGGGTCTGCATCCAAACGATGTCATCGCCATCAACCGCTGATGCAAAAGGAAGGCATGGTCAGCACTCTCCCCGAGCAGCCTCAAAAAGTCACACGAGCATCGTTGAACTCTTGCTGGCAAGGGATGATGTGGACGTCAGCTCGGCAAGTGGAGATGACTGGTCAGCACTCCCTTGAGCGGCGTGGGATGGCCACACCAGCATCGTTTAACTCTTACTGGCCAGGGAATGTGAATGTCAACTTGAAAACTGTAGGAGGTTGGACAGCACTCTTGTGGGCAGCCTATAATGGCCACACCAGCGTTGTCGAGCTTCTACTACAGCACGAGTCGGTGATGTAACTGCACCGATTCTAAATTGATCTTACCCTGCACGAATAATAGCACATTTTTGTTTAGTGACCACTCAACTTGGAAACTCCACGTCGTGAGGGAGACCTTCTGCCGCACATGTCTTTCGTTGCAGCTCAGATCCTTCGTGCAAATGATTTTGAATGGCTTCATCTACAGATATCCGAGGCATTGGAGACCGAGAACGAGCGCACAGCAAGCCCTTGAATACGCAAACAAGACTCGAGCAATAATAGCGACAATGTTCACACAGATGCGCGAGAAGGATAGGTCTTGTAGACCAGCAGAAGGATTGAGCAGCACCCGCAGACGCATTAGACTGCAATTGCGTACGTGACAGGAACGTGAAAAGGATCAACAAGCTGAGAGGTCGCGGGCGCTTGCAAAACAACGACTGGCACGATACCAACACATATCGCCAGACATCTATTCATATTTGGCAAGATTAGATATCGAGATTGCTCTGTGATTACTTTTCATAGTATACCTAGTGCTGCATGCGGAGCTACCCTCGTCTACCGAGCTAAAATTGACCATATGTACTACATATTTCACACACTCTCGACGTACGCAGGGCGACTCGGGAAGAGATCATCAACGTTGTGTTGGCACAAGATTAACATCATCTTCAGGCTCCAAACCTGAATCTTCATCTTCAACGTGATTCTGCTCATCGTTTGTATTCGCTATGTTTTGCCCCTGGCGAGACCGTTTCTGGCACTGCGCAAGACGGATGAGAATTGAATCAAATCTGCTCTTTGATTACTTACATGGTACACCGCTGTCCAATATCCACCCCAATACATTGCATTCAAAGCACGACTGAAAGCCTCATCTTGGTCAACCTCTAAAGGATTATACGTGCTTGACATCAAGTAATTTGGTTCTGATACAGGTGGTGGATCGGGTAGTTCTGGAAGAGCTAAAGACGGATCATGAGTGGGCACAAACGATTCGAAATCAATTGGTTTAGAATCGTCCTCCATTGAGAGGTCATCCTGAGATATATCGACTGCTGAGGCAGCGTTATGGGACGACCTTGTTATAGGAACGTTGAACCATCTCAACGTACATGAGTTGACGGTGGGAGGAAAATTAGAGAGGGGCTGTACTTACAGAGGTGATTTCTTGACGGACTGGTTTTTCCAGTCCTTAGTAGGACCATGATATTCCTTGTGAACTACAATGAATAAGTCAATTACGGCGGTGAAATAGCTCGTACATACCTCGTACTCTGCAGTTGCGGAATTCCACGCATCTATCAATGCAGAGTCATCCCAGACTTCATCGTGAGTGAGCTCGCGGCTTTCGTCTTCTCCATCCTCATCAATATCTGCAGCTCCCTCCTCCGAGATGGTTTTGTCTCCTGAACGATCTGGGTCATCCCAGTGCCTGACTTGCTGATTACGCCGTGACCTTTGGTTTGATTTCTTGCGTTTCTTCTGAGGAGGCTGCCCGGAATGTTCTGGTGCTGTGCTTTGACCTGCTGCTTGTGGTAGGGAGATATCGTCGTACGAGACAAGTTGCCGCATTTTCAAAAACTCACTGTAGGAAAATTAGAAGGAAATAAACCACCAAACGCGAGCGGCAAGATTGCAACAAGAAACTGACAGAATGTGAATAACAGTCAATAGACTCGTGAATGTGAAAGAAATTGAGAATCCAAGTCAATGTAAATGATAAAATTGCATCACGTGTTTGAGTTCAGCTGAGACCCACTACAAACGTATACGTAGTTTCCTTAAGCTTAAGCTTAAGCAGACCAATCGACGAAAGATACTGCAGCTACTTCAAAGCTATGGTACATTACTTATTCGTAATTCAACTAATATCGTACATGCGACAAGAATGGAAAACAATGACAGCATAAAATACGTCCACGATCGTCAGAAAATATTGCTTCCAATAAGTATCCAGCTCATCATTCCATGTAGACTCTACAGCTTAGCGTGTTCGAGTACGTAAGCTGACGACTTTTTGGATTTCACCTTGTAGACGTCAGCGTGAGTGACTGATCGACATTCATATGCGTGATTATATCCCAGTCTGCCATGACATGAGCCTCCGAGAAAATGATCTGCACAAACACTATACCTGATTCGCCCATCTTCACCGCCAGGCTTATAGAACTCGGGGCGGCGAAGAAGACTAATGACCGCAGCTCCTCCGATGCCAATGTTATGGATCAGACCATACTTTCCACGTTTATCTGCGCCTTCGAATAATGCTGGCGCCTGCATCGGACCAGCCCCTGTTATAGTTGGTAGTTGTGACATCAGTAAGTAACAAAATCTCGTGTTGAACTTACAATCCCGTAGCTGCACTAATGGTGAGATGATTCAATAAAAATACCTGAGTGGAAATCAAATTGACATACTAGTGATATAGAAATGCATGCCTAACCCAGTTGCGCCGAGGGGGTGGCCCTTGGCTTCAAGACCGCCGCTCGGATTCACCACATACTTCCCGCCATACTGAGTGGCGAACTGCTCAGCATAATACATAATATCGAAAAGACATCTCTTACCGTGTTATCACCCCTTTCTACTAGCTTATGGGCTTCATCGGGCATACAAATTCCCAAAGCGGCATATGTAATGAGCTTTTGGTGGTTAGGCCAACAAGATAAGTTAATATTATCGGTGCTCACCTCGTTTGAAGCAAAACAGTCGTGGAGTTCGATTACGCCTACCTGGTCTCTCCCCTCGCCTTCACGGAAACCAGCCTGTTCAAAAACCTTGTCTGCACACCTCTTCGTCATCCCATATCCAACCACTTCCATGGCGCTGCGCCCGTCAAATGCTAATGGCTGGTCGGTTTCCAATGCTTGAGCTACAATCTCGATTGCTTGGTTTTCGAGCCCGTGAGCATGTACGAAATCTTCAGATGCTACAATGCAACAAGCTGCTCCATCCTTGCACATATATTGTAAAGATGATATAGATGACAAGGAAAAAAGGGCTCACAGAGGTCGGGCTACACATAAACTTCGTGAGCTGATTGTTTATTTTGGGAGCCTGGAGAACTTGTTCCTTGGTCCACCCATTTCGGAATTGAGAGTAAGGGTTATTCACGGAGTGTTTGTGATTCTTTGATGCTGATGATATAACGCGGTCAACGAAAATAATCTGATCGAAAAATGATTCACTGACCTATCGAGGCGAGATGCTCTATACTTCCCCCGTACTTTTCAAAGTACTCTTGCCCAGCGTTCGCGAACATCCTCGGAGCTCCTGGTCCAAAGTTGGATCCAGCAGTCATTGAGGCCTCGAGTTCTTTTGTCCTCTCATTAAAAAGCGCTATAGGCGAGGGCCTATCTGGGAAATTTGTGCCAAGACTCCCAGGTGACATGCGTTCAAATCCTAGAGCCAAAGCACAATCCACCAGACCAGATTTTACTAGGTTATTAGCCTGATATAATGCCGTACTTCCGGTAGAGCAATTATTGTTCACATTGGTTATTGGGATACCCGTCATACCAAGATTGTACAGTGCCCTCTAGGCCAAATCAGAATTTGGATTGTTCCATGAGTGGGAGGAAGCAAACCTGGCCGCTCGTTGAATCTCCGTAGCAAAATCCAACGAACGCAGTCTCAATAGCATCGTATGTGAGGCCTAACAGGTCCGAGAGCATGACCCTCAGATCTAAGCAAGTTATATGCTTGGTACTCACCAGCATCAAGAAGTGCCTTTGTTCCCGCTTCGAGGCCCATCTTTACCCGTATTTCATTAAAAGCTCTTATACCTATCAAGATGAACTTACGTCTTCTGTAGTTCTTAGTCCTCTGGGCTGTAAATTGAGAATCATCATGCCGCTCATTTGTAACGAGTTATAAATGATTCTTGCCTTAATGAAAGCGGTACAACCGCACCCAATGATAAAAGATCTCTGTCCTTTTACCTTCATGTTGACTCGAATGACTAAACCTTACTGGGCGTATCGTTAGCGTCAATAGTAAATGATCGCTATCCAGCACTCCGCTGGCTCGGATGTGGGAGACTAGGACCGGTTTTCGGATACTTAGTTAGCCGATACTTGCTTGTTGTACTTCAACCGTCCACTTACCAGTGCAGCTCCCTTCAAAATATGATAAAGGTTTTACCTGTTGTGGGAGAATCGCGCCATCCATACTACAGAAACAATTGAAACCTTCGATCACCGTCAATAGAGGTTTAAAACAAACAGAAGTAGTATGCTAGACCTAGTCCGAAGCGTGTAGATCTTCTGTACACCAATGATAAACCGTACCTTGAGACATATTTGCGAAGCTACCCAGCGTACTGTTTACGGTGGAGTTGGTAGGATATTTAAGCTCTTATTTTTCAAGGAGGTAGTCGATGAGACGCGTCACAACCTGAACGAAGATAATTGGTGGTTAGCTTTCGACGGTAACCATACATTCGGTGAAAACCGCAAACCTCAACATTCACGCTATTACCAATTAACTTGTACTTTGTTTTCAGCGTTATATTATCGGGCCAAATGAGTGAATTTGAAGGGTAATGACGTGACTCAAAATGGAAAAGGCGTAATAGTTCATCAGGTGTGAAGTACCGAAGGCCCAATTGATCCAGTATGCGAACAGCTCCTTCAATCCCCTGCGAGTGTTTCAACCGAAATTCATCAAATACGGCAGTTGTCTGGTTATAGACGTTAGAAAAAGCAAAATCTTCAGAATAATTATTGGCTAACATTTAGATCATCGTTTGCTTGTAGGATCGAGCCACTTCGTTCGACAAGCCGGGTATAACCTGTAATAAGACTTGAGGTCGTTGATTCCGCTGCTCGACTAAAACTTGATCTACCTCTGGTGAAACAGCAAGTTCTTCTTGAGGACGGTAGGACTATATCGAATAAATGCCCCCATTTCTGTAAAACTCTGTCAGTCACCTTATAGCTGTGAATATTCACGTCGTTCTCGGCATCCAAGTACTCTCTAAGCTCTTGTACCGGAAAATCATCCCCTGCTGTGTTAATTGACCTAGGATCCGTCCAATCACAACCTTGACCTGGTATGTGTCTCCAAATATCACCACAATCGGAATCCTGGAGAGAGACAGACTCGAAAGGTATTAGTCTGGCTAAAAGATAGTATCGAAGTCGAGAATTCGGGATGCCAAATTGCAGAGGCGTCAGCAGCAGCTCCACGACGAAATATCCGATTTCCTTCAATGTAGACAACAGGGTCTGTCTGGTAGAAGACATCTTTCGCAAAGCTATTTAGGCTATGGTGTAATATAGACCAATAATAAGTTACTGGTACCTCAAAGCCTGCAACATTCTCAATGAGGATATAACGGGGGCGGCTGTATTGACGTGCGAGCTCGGGAAGTACATCCTCAATGAGATGGAGGAATGATGCAGCTCGGGGATCTGAGGCGCCTTTACGGGATGGATTCAACACGGTATAGGGTTGGCAGGATGGAGATAACAACCAGATATCTGCGCGATAGGAGGCCAGGTCAAGAGCCGAAAGAGATGAGATGTCCACCTAAAGAGCAGTAATGTGGTATTTTAGTAGATTGTAGATATTTGTCGACGATTTCTTTCGGTAAAATGGGTAACAGCGACCTTAGATATTAGCTTAAAGCCGTAATTCTCTGCATAGACCTTGCAGGCTGTCTGATCCCAATCAAATGCTTGGATGACCGAACCTGATCTAAGACTGCGACTGAGAGCCAAATGTAGACCACCTATTTGTTATGTTAGTCGTATGGTGAGCTTTGAAAGGTGTACTACGCACCTATTCCACTGTAAAATTCGAGAGCTCGCACCGACATAAATAAAATTATAAAATCGCTATTTTTTTTTTGTATAACTGCCCCCCCTGGTGTACTTGGTGGCAGTCAACTGACTGTAGAACTTGATCCGAGTCAGACTAGTGCCGATAGTGGGCGCCCGCTTATGTAATCATATGCCTCCTGAGAACGGCAAGTAAAATGCTTATCCTCTGAAACTTCATTCTAAGTTCCTTACTCTGAGACAGCAGTGGCGAAAAATCTGGTTAGCTTTGTTTCACTCTCGTATTCTCACCTTGCCAAGATACACCTGGCCCACTTGGAAAACTCGAGCCAGGACATCCTGTCGACTATTTAAAATCAGGCTGGTACGATCATGTCCAAACCAGAACCAAAAGGAACAACATCGACCAGGGGCGACAATTTTATCTCTGGATCCTTAGACAAAGCCTCATCAGCGCAGACACATTTCGATAACAGTGCTACCTCGGTAGATTATGAGCGAGATGCTGACATGCACAGCCAGGACAACATTGCTACTTTCAGTAGCCCTGTCGAAAAGAGTAGAAGCGTACCGAGCATGCAAAGTGAAACTAGGTCTGTTCAATTATCGCTTATCAGTATCACAGTACCCGCTGAACCTTCTCACTGCAGTTCCACTCCACGTTCTAATCGAGACACTTCAGTATTTCTTTCTCTACCATATTCACACCTTCCCACTCCTCAAAGGCAAGTCTCGTTTGCTCTATTATCATATTCTTCCGGAGGAATACCGGTAAAGTTAATGTGCGCTAATACTGGTGGTAATCAGAGATAGCTGTGTCTGATTGCACCTGACACAAGAGCCATCATGACATCGACATCGTTCTTTCCACTCCCCTTCTATCTTTCTCTATTTCGCCCTGGTACGGTCCTAACTTACTATTTTCCTCAGCCCGAATAGTATGGGCTCTTATGTCCATACCATCCCTCGTCTACAGTTTGCCATGTCTCACGAGTAAGTCGTTTTGCAAATGGTAGTCTGCATATCCAGCTCATACCCCACTAGAATGCAGCCCGAGCATTTAAAGTTACTAGACCCAGCAATTTTGCAACATCATGAGTATGTCCCATCCATTTTTCTCAAATTTCAATGTTTTGAGCTCGATTATGAAGTGGTTCCTTTATTCCTCGTGCTTCCGTATTCACTAGACAAGTTGTTACACCAGATTCTAGGTGAGCTTGCTTGCACTAAATCTTGCAAAATCATATGAAACATAAGACACCTAGTCCATTGTTGGCGAGGACGAAAGGACATTCTGCCCTGCTTAACAGGTATGAATCAAAACTTACAGTTAACCTGCGTTGAACCTCATATAACCATTATACTATACAGATCTTCAGATTCTCCTTCCTTAAAGTGTGTTAGATTAACGCTGGAACTGATCATAACTGCTAGCTTACCTTATCCTGACATAGCAGTGAAGACACGCCCTCACATCAAGCTATTTCTGACGGCGGATACACGGTCGACCCTCCATCGAAGATGATCGTTCAGCCTTCTTTTAATCCTCAGAGTGCGTTATCCTCGACCAGCAATCTTACCACCAGCGAGGGTGCTTCTCAGCCTATTTACGACACTGTTCCTCAATCTTTCTCTCTTGATCATGTTCACGATGTCTTCACTGCCCCTATCCCGTCCAATTCGAGGGAGAGTGTATCGAGCATTAATGTAGAAGTAAAAGACAACGTCATTCTTGCTCCAGTAACGGAAATGCGGCGGCCTGACTATTTCAAACGTGCCAAGCGCGCCACACCAGATACAGGATTCGACGAAATAGAAGATGTAGATTTGGAAGAGCGAGGTCACGCATTACCAGGAATCGGTGTCACCGTGAGTCCAAATAGAGGGAGAAGATTGAAATTATTCCAAGAAACCTCAGACGAAAGTTTCGAGCAAAGCCTAATGTTTGGCAGTTTTGATCGATTTGTGAGTCATATTTTCCCGTTTGCCATGCACGAATATGCTGACTTTCATGTGTGTAGCGACCGACAGAAGAATGGCCACATCCATCCTTTTCTGAGACTGGGGAAGCTCATCAAGATGCGACCAATGGTGCTAGCCTTGAGCTCAGTGAGAAGGAGCTCAAAAAGCGCAGTAGACTTGCAGCATTTCTTGCTTCTACACAGACATGTGGTCCCAGTAGGCTGCGTCCTGTTGATGTAGAAGGGCGGGGGAGGGTTCTACTAGATACCTCTATCGCAAACTTCCAAGAATCGACCAGCCCGAGCTCATCAAGAAGAAAGGGAACTCGCCGTAGAAAGAAAAATGCGACATCTGCTTCAGTTCCAAACGCCATGGACATGAACATTGATGGCGATCACAGCACGGATGCACCAAATTGGCCAGATTCAGAGTTTCCTTGGCGTCTACGGGCAGAACAGCGCACTAATCTTACCGAAGCCGAACAGGAGGAGCGGCTTCATTGGATTGGGAAGTTCTTGGATAGGGATTCTGATGACGATGATGTCGAAGATGATGCCTTCGGCTTCCATCGATCTGAGAACCCTGATAAGGTGTTGGGAGATGGAGAACATGGTCGTCTTTTATTGCCACAGAGAACTGGAAAATCCCTACAAACCGCTCTTCTGTCGGGTGACCCAGCTGACGCCAGAATTGCGCTTCTATCGAAACGATCTCTCCGATCTCTTGCATATAAGAAGCCTCGTCGCAACGGAAGAAACGCTGATATGAATGAGGACGGTATAGACTGTGTCTGCAATGGTCGCAACGATGGGGAAGAGTTAGTGCAATGTGATCAGTGCCATACTTGGTATCACCTACAGTGCATTGGCATTAGGAACGTAAAAGAACTGGGGAGAGAAGAAGACCCTTGGTTTTGTCCCCCATGCGTTGAAGTGATGGGGTTGCCGTCACCTCGAGAACCAACCTTCGTCCCAACAGATGAAAAGCTCACTCATAATCCTGCATATGACCCTCCTTTTTTTCAAGGTAGCTTTCAGATGTCTCCCGCCACTCCATGGGGTCCATCCCGCCCTCCAAAGACGCCGCCACGGAATAACAATGCCACTGCTGGATTCTCTTCCGGATCTTCGTGGGATGAGCCGTCTAAGCAAGGACCAGTGACGCCCCAGTTTCCCTCCCAGAGTGCTCGGGTGTACACAACTCCAGGTCCATTCGACAATATCAAGCTCGACGAATCTCCATACGACCCTACATCGACGCCATCAAGAGGAATAAATTTCGGCCCTCCCTTTTCCACTCCCAAAACTGGCCTGTGGTCTGCTCGTGCTCCAGAATTATTCCATACACCTCCAAAGTCTACACAACTTTCTCAATACATAGGAAGCGCGCTGCTTCCATCGCGGATGAGCGGCAGCGGTGGCAACGAACATTCATTGACGCTGTATCCTTTTACTCAAGACGATAGTCCATTACGGGTTAATCAATCGAGCATAAAACCTCCCGTCCACAGCCGTCTACCGGATTCTCCGTTGGCTGGAAAACGCTCGCGTCGTGGTGCTGATGAATCCCCGGTTCTACGAGCAGAGGTTTTAAACAATAGAGGCGTCAAGGGCAAGTAGATTCAACCCCTGTTCTCATTTTCCAAGACTATCGTAGCAGATATACCAATAATGTCCACGTATTGGGATGATAGTGTGATGTCAATATCTGGTGTTCTTATTTGTATGTCTTCCCTTTGTATATCGTATTTTGGTACATTCGTCGCGCTACCTCTGCTGTCGAAACTTTACAGTAAACTATTTCTTAGGGTGTATCCTGGTAATAATCACGCTTTTAGATATATTGGTTGTTGACGTCGCGCGTTCCCAAGGTTAACGTTACTTAACCACAGACTACGTCTGATATACCTGATCCTTTCTCACCTACGCACAGTATGGTTAAGGATATAACACCATCTGAAAGAATTCGAATAACAATTGTGAGCTTCCCAGACGATGCACTCGTGTATTCACGACCTTAATGAATTCTGAATACACCCGACCACAACCTCGCAGGCTCTCTGTGTTCAAAAACACAAACCCCCTGAACAGTCTTACGCATGTATGCGCCGATTTTTTCTGTCTCATGCATTGGATTGGAGTCCATGGATATACTGACACCACCCCAGCCTACCTCCTTGATCTCAGAGCAAAGTTCCCTACAAAACATGCTTCAAACTCGGAAGAAGGTCGATGGAGAGAACGCGTCCTGCTGCTGGAACGTAACCTCACGGATCTACAGAAAAAATATGACAGCGATCTGAGCGGTATGTCGAACAAAGTCAATGATTGATATTTGGTGTTTAAATAAGTGATTAACTGGTGCAGAACTTGTGTCCTTGCGTGCCAGCGATAATGTAGGCAACTCCCTTCCACCGCCTTCGCTTCCTAGCTCTCCTGCAAGTAAGAAAAAGAAGACACAGCGTGGATCATCAAATTTTGCAGCCGACCTCGCATCTCTAAAATATGACTATGAAAAGCTGAAAGATCGTATGTCCATTGCTCCCCCCTGACTCTGTACTGGAAAAGACATTGTATTTTCGCTGAAGGCGTGCTATTCGTGAACAGGTCTCATCTCCACAAACCTACCTTGTACTACATCTATCTTCGCCACCCACCTGGCTTTGCACAAGCTTTTATCACCTGAGGAGGGTCCTTGCTCAATCGTACGCATCACTGCGACTGCAAGACAGGCTTTCGAAGTTCTCGCGGCATGCTTAAAGACAATGTTGCCTCCCAAACGACTTTTGCCGTCATCCCCTGAACTCTTCAAGATTGTATCCATTTTATTGTCCCACTTACTTTCGTCTGTCATTCCACAGATCATTACGCTAGAAGGGAAACAGAAATCAAAGATACCCACAGCAATTAAAGGCGGTTCTATTAATGAGATGATGAAACTTCTTACTACAACCATCCTAGACCCGCTGATACAATCCATCCAACCTCTTTCACATGCGAATATCCTGGAGACATTCAACGTCAGCGGCAAGAAGGCAAAAAAGGACAAGCAGGTCCAGATTCAAGAAGTTATCGATTTACGGATGGATGTCCTCGGACTTGTTAATAATGTGTTGTCCATTTTGGACAAACTGAGTAATCAGTTCCGCACGGCCAAGACCTATTCTCATGTCATTGGTTGCTTTGGCAGCGTTAGGGAGTACGTGACGCTGCAGGCCATCCGCGAACTGGATAAGATATTTACCCAATTACTACAATGTCCATCCCGCACATATGAAAATGACAAAGAAGGTTCGGACATTTCGAAGGGTGGAAGTTCTTCTTGGCCCACTCGTACCGGTCGCTCTCAAGAATGTCGGTTCGCAACCTTATCGACGAAGGATTCTATCTGGTACCTGTGCAGTGTCTTGGATCTAACAGCGAGGAGTTGTCTTTCTTCTACGCGGGGTGACGGCCTACTACGGGAGGGTATTCTAGGTGCCCTTGCTAATCTCCTTGGGCATATCCATATGTCAGTGGAGAAGCACGCGAACCCGACGGAAGAGAACGCTGTTAGCTCGAAGACATGTCACGGTACGTCGCAGAGATGCTGCACCGGAGGGCGGAGGCCCGTGATAGATGAAGTCTGTGGCCAGATGGTGTTGGCAGTGTCTGAGAGGGTGTGGCTGCGTGAGACACAGGACAGCTAATAGCACAATGTCGAAGGTGAGCAGAAAGAACAAAAAAAAGCAGTGTCTGAATGTCTTTGAAAAATCAGAAGATTGCCGGGAAGGCGCAGTACACATGATGCAGGGACCGAAGATTTCGCGCGAGATGGCAAGTGTCGGGTATATTTTTTCGTAAGTATTTGAAGTTCAGGCTTGCATGCGCCTCAAGGTTAACGTTACCGGGGCTTGCCGTAAGCGGTTCAGGAGAGCAAGCTTTACAGGCTGAGGTGTACAGACTCGAACAAAGTATAGCACTGGTCTGCCATCATGATATGATGATTGGGTCTGTGCAGAGATAACGGATACTGATGGCTGGAGATAGATGTATAGGATAGTGTATGATGTATAGGCGATGTACACCCAGTCTTGTAGTCGCGTGCCATCGATGAGCCATTGGTGAGAATGTCGTGGATGGACACACGCGATTGGATGGTCTGGTCCAGTTTGCCGCTTCCACGTTGTTTATTACAAGTTGGCCCTTAAGTTTTGCAAATAGCCCTCTCAGTGTCGGCAGGGATCGGCCCGCCTTCCAAAGTTGCCATATATAGCCTCCCAAGGCATTCCGGCCAGCTCTTGCCGCGAAGTTCCGCGGACTTTGAGTTCGATGCTCGTCAAGGTTCCGTCCAAAGTTTGGAGACCGCTGATGCACATCATATCAGCAATGCCTTACGGTACGGTGGTAAAGATGGCCCAGATAGGAGCCAGATATGATACGAGGTGCTCGCTGTCCATCTGGCCTGGTACTCGACATGCAAGTGGGGAGGGAGCACCAACGGCTGGCGTAAGTACTTCCGTACTGATGCCGGCGTAATTATTTTTCGACTCCGCTTATTCGAGTTTCGTAAAGCGGAAGAAAATGAAATAAAAACTTTTAGCGCTGTGGCAACAGATCTGAATCCGTTTCGCACGCATCTTTCTCTATATCGAACATGGACCGGCCTATATAACTATCCCCCGCTATTCTGGGCTCTCTTGCGTCTCTGCCTCCCCATACTTCATCATCCTTTAATGTCTGTCCTTGCCGCCACCTTTGTAGACTTTGCTTCTCGTGCACATTCTTGCATCGCAAGTATCGTGCCTCTCTCGCCTGAAGATCAGCCAGAATCAGGTATGTCGCTCACCCTGTAGCCATTGGCCTCGTATTCAATGCAGTACTATCCACAGGCTCATCTACGCGCTCTTTACCTTCAAACGCCTCGCCACGCCTCAGTTTGTCTATCCCTACCAGAACAAACGAACACCTGGCTGTATTACTTCCGAAAGACCTGTGGAAGGTAAGCTTAGATACACACGATCATGCTCAATCACCACCATCAAGTACCCATCTTCTAATCGCGCCTACTTTTCAGCCCGATTCTCTTGCTTCGAATTGCGATACCTTCTTTTGTCGTGTAAGATTCTCCGTCCTCGAACGTCGTCACGTAAGTTCGCCCAGTTACCCGCCTTTTTACATCCTATTAACCGTAATTTATTACAGCATTGTAGAAAATGTGGTGGCGTCTTTTGCAGTCAGTGTACAACACGCTCCACTCCCCTACTTGATGCCTCAAATTTGGACTTCCTTCATCCTCCTCGTAATGTTCCCATATTTGAGTTCGAGTCGTCGTCATCGCCTGTCATCATGGGCAAAGTCTGTGATGGTTGTTGGGACCAGATTCATGGATGCAGTTCTCCCAAGACTCCTGACCTTGTACCCTCTACGCCTGTCTCTGTACGCACATCACCTTTCGTGTCGGGGACGTCTTCGCTCTCCTCCTCAGTTTGCGCTTCACCCATCACTCACTCTGCCACCATGACTCCAATAATACGTATTGCACGGAGTTCATCTCAACTAAGCAATCGTAACACACTCTTCCCCTCGGCTTTGACGTCATCTATTGCCGAGATGCCTGAACGTTCCTTTGGGGAACTCGATGCATATCCCCTTCGACGCTCGAGTGCAATATGTAAAGCTACTGGCGGCGGCCGATGGGAACCAAAGCAGTCGCCTCCAAAACATGGTCTGCGTATCCCCGGTTGCAAGGCCTCGTTTGAATTAGAAATGGAGCGTGAAGAGGAGGAACAACGCAGACGGCGCTCGAATCCCATTGTACGAGACGGAGGTAAGAAAGACCCTGATATCGTCACTCTTGATAGAGTTAATCTAATTTCTTTATGTTTCAGAATTCCAATATAGATTCCAGGGAATCCCCGAATCCGTAGTCCTCGCAAGAAGCCCCTTCCAGCTGTCGACTTTCTGATGTGGTTATCTCCATCCTCATAACATTATTAATGTTTATATTTGTTGTAAGCTCGTTGTACTTTTTGTCTTGTTGATACCTCGCTGTTTGTTTGACTCTTGTGTGATACCTTTAATCCGTTACTCTATGCACTCCGCAGAATATGTTTTCCATTTCCTATATATTCTAGCTAAAGTACCTCTGCGAGGGCTTTTGTCGAACTTTGACTGTACTGTAGTGTCTTATGCTCCTATCATCGTGTACTTCATACCCTTGTCTCGTCGTCGACTAGCTATAGATCCATACCATATTCATATCATACCCCTCAAGTATATAGTTCTTGAATAAAACATGTTTAGAAAATTTGTGACTTGCCCGATGTCTTTGTGACTACGTATACCCTTCTGTAAGCTTATGAATCTTGATTTCGTACAATGGCCCGGTTTTTGTGTATATACGCAAGCATGCACTTGGGAGCCCTAGGATCCAAGGTAGACCCCACAATATTATCTTCATTCTGATCTCGCATATTTACTACAGTCATGGATGAATCCCTTTTCAAAGATCTCACCACCTCTCGTGGAATAAAATACCACTACTTCTACTCTCCTCCTACTGATGTGGCCAAGCCCGTGTTGCTGCTTATCCACGGTTTCCCGTCTACGTCGTACGATTGGCATCGCGTCGCGCCCTTCTTCCTCAAGGGTGGATTTGGAGTGCTTGTCCCTGATTTGCTGGGTTATGGTTTGACAGACAAGCCGAAGGACACTGCAGAGTATGTTGCGAGCAAGGTCTGCAAGGACCTGATCGATATCCTTGATTTTGAGAAGGTCGAGAAAGTCGTAGCTGTTGGTCACGATTGGTGCGTTTGTACTAACCTGATTCACGCTCTCATTCAACGGTTCTAACATCGTCGATCATCGCCGCTTTCGTCCAGGGGCTCAAAAGTAACGTCTCGTCTTGCGAACTTCTACCCAGAGCGTTTCCTTGCCTTTGCGTTCTTTGCGGTTTCCTATACCGCTCCGGTTACAGTGTATGATTACCAAAAGCACATTGAAATGTCGCGTAGCATCTTGGGGTACGATCAGTTTGGCTACTGGGAGTTCTTCGCGGAAGGGGGATCGGATAAGGTGATCGAGCAACATGTGAGTAATTGTCGTCTTTGAACATGGTTGTGTCAAGTTATGGGACTTGCTCGGGGTGTTGATAATGCTGATACTTTGTTGTATAGTGGGATTCTTTCCACAGTATAGTATTTCCACATGATCCGTTGCTGTGGAGATCCAACATGGCGCCATTGGGAGCGTTGAGAGCATGGGTGCAAGCTGATCGCAAAGGTCCCCTTCCGCACTACCTCACTGAAGAGGTCCGTCCTTTCATGTTACAGCCCTCGATTCACTCATTAAACTAGGCTATATGTAGGACAAAGCTCAACAATCTAAGCACTTCTTGAGAGACGGCATTCAGGGGGGCCTGAATTGGTACAAGCTTATGGTGGACAAGCCTTCGCTTAGCGCCGAGGATGATAAAGGTGCGCATCGAGCTCGTGTCCTTTGACTATCGAGCTAACAACCCTATTCACCGGATTGGTACTTCGCGCTATAGCCATCCCGGTCTCCCGCTACGACATCTCTCACCCCACCTTTTTCGGCGCAGCTTTACAAGACCAAATTTGCGTGGCGTCTCTGGGACGTGCTGCAATGGGGAAGCACTGCACCAATGCGACGATACGTGATTTTGATGCTGATCATTGGGTGATTTTGTCGCATGGAGAGGAAGTTGCGAACGCGTTGACGCAGTGGGTTTTAGAGGAGGTGTTGAAGGAGTAGAAGAAACACGGAGGACTTAAGCTTGAAACAGTACTAACGAGAACAATGGAATTTGGTTGTTTTGATAAGAATGTACTTCTATTATGATTTTATCTTTGCTTTGTGTAAAATATGTATAACAGGAGAGGAAGGTGCACTTTCATTAGGCTCGTACTCAGCCATTTGTTCGCTTGTGTTCATCGCCTATCAACATAGCTCATATACATTCTCGACACTGCGAACAGGCTGGGACCACTCATCGCCCTTTTGTGAGGACGAAATCCTCACCAAAGATGACTAGGGGACTTCGAGTGAGGGCTTGAAAAATGTCAGAAATAGGTGTTTAAGTACAGAAAATCATTTTTGTAACTAGTACATCGCTTTTCATATAAACAACTTTTCGCAAAAATTTTGGTGTTGTTGCTGTGCATCAGGAAATTTACATGCATCTTAGGTGTCTTATTTTCACTTGTAAGCTACGTCAAGGTATATCAAGCTGTGTCAAGCCGCGTCAAGCTAGATCAAGCCAATAAAGGCTCATAACCATTGCCCTCTGGGGCAGACCTGGCCCCGGCTGTGTCCAGATCACACAGCAGGCCATTACAACAGTTAACATTTTGTGCGGCCTTTACAGCGATCACAGAGCAACAACGTACAATGGATGCAAGAGTGAGTAGCACCAAGGTAGCCACGTGACAATAGACGCAATGAGCCGAAAGTGCGAGAAAGGAAAGGAAGCGTAAACGTAAATGAGTAATGACTAAAAGGTCCTTGGAAAACGCAGCGGAAATTTGTGCTTTGGAACTGGAACCTACGGGTCCAGGAATAAGTGACGCTAAGGCCAAGGTACAGCTGTTTGAAGTAATGTATTCTAAGACTAAGATCATGGTCACAAGACCAAAAAGCCGTTATATATGGTGGTTGTTTGGTTACGGCTCGTTTAGCACTTCAGCCGGGAGTGCCGGGTTGATATTTTCCATTGTCCGAAGAACCTTACTGGAAACCCATACTAGGTATTAAATCTAATAATTGTATTTGTGAATACTCGAGTTTTCACACGTGAAAGTAGATCCTAAGTTCAATGATCGCACGGCCCTCCGGGCATCCCTGGCCCCCAGGGCCGGCAGTGATAATCACGGATCGAGTAAATGCATATATATCGATTCATAGATGGGGGGCGCAGTGTGAGGCAACGATAAACTATAACAAAAACTAAACCTATCTCCTTCTGCACTTGCAGGGAGTAAGGGTCCAATGAGCTTGAGGTCGACAGACGCTAATATAGCGAGTAGAGGACTTTGAGAGGTAAGCTTCAAAGGTTCTTGTTGAGGAGTAAAGCGGGTAAATTCAGTAATAGAAAGCTAAGGAGCTATACATGAATAGGTACGGCTTTATATAGAGAACTGTCTGTTCCTCAGACCGAAAAGAGAATATACGAAAAGTGGTCTGAGGAATTAATCAACCAATAAGAAAAAGGGGAAGCAACTATCGTACGACTTTCTAACTTGATTAATCAGCAGGTGAGAGACTTGTACTAATAATAGAAGATTGTCACGCGTGGTCAGGAACCGTATCCTCATGATGAGGTACGATTCTAGATAAGGCGTTATTAGTATCAGCAGGCTTTACTGGGGCTTGGAGCTGGTTGGCGAGATGCCTACTACCAGTCCCTACCCAGTGTGCTGGCTAGCTGGGAGCGATGCCCAGTCTTTGATCTGTGATATAAAGTGGTAGCGATGGTTAAGAAAGCCTGTGAGGGCTATGAGAAGTAAGATGGCAAAGGATACCTCTAGCCCTAGAGCCAGAGGTGTAACGGGAAAAGCGTTCGAGAGCCAAGACATAACGAGGATAAGAAGAAAATAATAAAACGGTCCTTACATTACCCCCCCCTTTTATATTCTTGTCCCAAGAATCTTAGTGCCGCAGTCCGTGAAGCGGTTTGTGATCCAGTCGAAAAGGCGGGTTTTTCGGTTGTGGTAGTGAAATTTTCGTATGGACGAAATCGTAAGGCGGCAGAGGCGATGACACGGGAATGGGTCGGAATGGGGCAACGTGCCGCTTATCAAATAATGAAACTCTGACTGAATTCTGAAATTCACTTTCGAAGAACAAAAATTTGTAAACAACAAAAGTTCAAGGTTAAATGATTGAGTTCCCCATGAGGAGATACAATTAGAGTGTTGCCTGTGGCTGAGTGGCCGTACATGTTGAAAACCGCACAACTTTTTCATGGGCAACCACCGGAGTCGGGGACTGGTGCCAGATGGCGCTACAATTTATAATCACGGACATCGTACCGACCAACCGATACATTTTGCACAGACTATTAATTGTTGAGACACCTAGTCTCCTTCGGGACCAGGAATAATTGTATTTGTGAATACTCGAGTTTTCACACGTGAAGATAGATCCTAAGTTCAATCAATGATCGGGCGACTCGCTATCATCGGTCCAACTATTTTCAAAATCAGAGCCACCCTCATCCGACAAATACACCACCTCAGATCCACTATCACTTTGTGTGGGGTAAGGCGGCATATTGACCACTGGCATGTATTTTATGCCCACCAACCCATCCACCAGAACTTCAGGGTGGGAAGCAATAGCTGTTTGAAGCTCGGGATCATCATTCACTATGGATTCAAAGTAAGCTAGCGTGTTGTGAAAGATAACCCATGCGTTATTGCAATTAACAACAGGCGATCCTGAGCGTTGAAGGAAGGCATGGGCCTCGGTAGCAAATGCAGGGGGTACAAGGTTGAAAACAAAGTGGTCCGGAGGGGCGTACTTGAGGCATACCTCTTTGAGGTAAGGTGGATGTAACTTAATCTTGTAGATACAATATTTGTAGTTAGTGGATATGACAATGATATGGGGGAGCCCTTACTGCAAAATCACAAGACTTGAACTGGTCAAGTTTTGTAAAAATGTTAATGGGACGCCCGTGTGGTAATATTTTTATTGGGTTATGCCAAGGTGCAGTGCGGTTGAATCTGGATATGAAGAGATCTAGCTCCATTTTAAGCCATGGAATAAAGATGTAATGAAAAACTAGTCTACAATTTGTCTGTGAGTAATGTGTGTTGTTATAAGTTTATAGCGAATAATCTCACCGATGCAAGGTGATATCAGGATTGTACCATCCATTGTCGAGGCCTTGTTGCAGAAGTGTTTCGAAGCCTGGGCTCCAATATTGACAAAGTTGATTCCAAAATATTTCGGGTTTGATGTTTCGATGAGAGCCCCAAACGCATGTTGTAGTGTCCTTGCTAGGCTGGGGCCTTGTAGGTGACATAGCATGGTATGCCTGTTTGCAATACTGTTGTTCTCTGTACCCGGATTGCTCTGTGTCAACAGCAGCATTACTGACAACTAAATTAAGAAGTACACTTAAAGTTATCATGGTGTACATACCTCCAAGGGCCTCCACCGTGTCACAATACCATCCGCAGATTAATTGAGGATTGCAGTTTGTCCACCATGTCTTCAGCCAGAGGACCTAACCAGAGAAGGGCTCCAGTCAGACATGCAGAAAGAGTTGGAAACACCTCCACTTATTGTGTTGCTCAAAACACCATATGTCGTTAATGCCTGCTGTCCAGAAATAGCTTTGTTTCAATCTTTGTTGGCGGCGTGCAAGAACCTCTTCATGATAGTAAGTATTCATGTAATGTAAGATGAGTTCTCTGTATATCATGCGAGATGAGAAAAATGCCTTAGTTTTAATCAAGAATGCTTACCATGATACCCATATATTTTCCTCCTGTCGCAACATCAACCTCATGTCGTGTGATCCCTGCAGAGGGAACCTTGCTTGAAGGTGTTCAATTCCTGGTCCAATACTCTCAATTGTGTGGTTAAATCCTTGTGTGCTCTTCACGCACCAAACCATTTGTCTCTTTTTTAGAAGAGATAACCTACACCTTGTATATTGATATAGCGGCTGTGAGCAGCATGTATGGGAACTCACAATACATTATGCTGTTCTACGTTATAGCCAGCCAGCCATCACTTCAGTACCGCTATTCCGCCATCTGAAACTCGACCCCCTTTGTTCATTCCGGAGAAAGAAAGCTTAGAGCAAGTTCTCGCTGCACAAGTAGATGTTCAATGCCAGGCAAAACCAATCTGTAAGTTTGTCAGTTTAAACATGATAATTACCTGATGTTCCGCTCAAGTAAGCTGTGATGTGGGGATTTATTTCATATTTCCGATACCCCAACTACCTTTTAGCGACCTTATGAAAAAGCGCATACTTTTCACCATTGATAATAAGGCCCATTGTAGGACTGTCATGCTCTCTGTTGATACAAGAACCAATGCAATGATTACTGCCCCCGGGAGTTTCAAGACATGTCATCCCATTAATATGGTTCCTATCAGCACTCAGCCCCATTACAATGCTGCATTCTTCAGGGAAGGGATCTTTGTTGCCAAACAACTGTTTTTTAGAGATGCATTATCCGCTGGCCAAAAACAATATGCAATGCAAGACGATCTTGCATACATGTTGGACAAGTCAAACTGCCTCTACTGGGGGTCGAGCTTGATGGGCTTAACTTATGACTTTATTGCAGATTACTTAGCTCAATACTCATCCTCCCAATCAATTTCTTATCCTTGTCTTCGCATGGTGAACTGTGCACTTGCAGTATCTCAAGACCAAAAGGATGGACGTGCAGCAGTTTATCTTATTGATGAAATGATCACAGGGAAGTTCGTCAAATATATTAACAATAATGCTGCTGTCCCGCGTAACAAATTGACAGTTGCCGAGCACAACATTGCTCTATTTCTTTGTTTTGCTCAACACATTGTCGATGATGAGAACTGTTGTTAGAAAACCACACACAAAAACAAACTAACACACAATCCTCCAAGATTCCACGGAACTTGTTTATGGGCTTTGCCTCCTAGAACAGTGGGTGCTCTGGTTGTTCGTGGGGTGGTATGTATAAGGATCCTTCAAAGTAAAACCCAGAGATGTATGGGTGTGGGTTTTGAGGAGGAGGGATAGTTGAATTTATAAAAGATAGGTGCTTAGTGATGAGTATAGATGAGCACTACCTTACTAATTGTAGCACAAGGTAGGTTTGAGAACGACGAGGATGACGAGGTGACGAGGTTCCCAGTGATAACAGGCTCCTGACGCACAAACTGTAGTGCTCAGAAGGACTCTAATCGAAAGGGATGACAATGACTTCAAAAATGGGAAGTGACGATGACAGCAGTTGACAGTGGTAGCAGTGGGAAGTGTTGTGACCACACTGGATCACAAGTAGCAGAGTAGTGAACTTGAAATTAGAGAAGAAGTCTGGATTGGAGTTCTTGTTTTTTTTTTCAAGGTAAAATACAGGGGTTTATATAGTAAAAGAAAAGTAGGCTATGCACAGTATAGCTGTGAAAAAAGAATGAGAAAGAATATGAAGGAAGGAATGTACGCTGACGAATCCTGTGTAGGTAGTACAGGATAAGATTGTCAAAAAAAGGAAAAGAAAGGGATAGAACAATAAATGCTGTGAGTAATGTCACAGGTTTGTACAGCCATAAAGTAAAGTCCAATAGCAAAAAGAGAGCAGGAAAATCATGATGTCATGGGAAGATGCAGTAAAAAAAAGGCAAGGCAAAACACTATCAGTATCAACACAGTTCCTTTATTGTCAGTCAGGCATTCTAAAAAATATGTGTCCATAAAAATGATTCAAAAATCAAAAATAATTGCACTGTAAATGAATGTTCTGCTGAAGAAAAAGAAACTGGAGCCACCGGTCCACCACCTAGTCCAAATCCGACAGTTCCATGGCCTTACCAATGGACTGGTTGTGTTGGACCACCTGATCAAACGAGGGAGGGAGAGGAGTAGTTCCAATTTGGAACAAGTGAGTCCCAGGCAGCGTGTGGTAGGTGTAGCTGTAGCGAAGACAATGGACAAAAGATAAGTGTACCCAAGTGAATGGGACAGCGATGAACATGGGCGACGCAAGGGGATGGGCCTTCTCCAGCTCAAAAACTACCCACCCACGCTCCAACCAGGCAAGACGAGCGACCGATGTTTTGATAGTATATGATGGCAGATTGACGTCATGAAGATGGACCTGTTGCCCTATTTGGACCGGCCGCCGGGGCTTTGCTGATATCAGCAGTGGCACGTGGTAGTCAACGGATCGGCAACGGAAGCGGATAGGAAGTGGTGACATCAGAAATGGTGGGGGTGCAAATAAGATGAGAAGGAGGAGGGTGGAGGTGACAAAAAAGTGGATTAGAATGGGGATCCAGAAACAACTGTCAGGTGAGAATAAAAAGGAGAGGAAGGGGCCCATGGTGGGGCTAGGCAAAGGAAGGGGAGTAAGGGAAACGACAAAAGCGAGGGCGCAATGCAATGTGTAGCCAGGGGCGACGCGAAAATTTGCCGAAATGCCGAAATGCGGAAAGTACCGAATGGAAAAGCAAAGGTGAGCGTGACTGGATTGCCTAATAGAAGTGGTGCTGATCAGCCACAAGTTCGAAACAGGCAATCTTAATTACTATTCCACGTGGCACTGTGCCTGTGTGGTGCAAAGGCGAGTCTTTTTGAATATTCGCTTTGTTATTAACACCTGTCCATGCTACCAATCAACTTTGGTGCATGACAGCGCTTTGGCATGAAGGACTGCAAGCCTGTGTCCACTCCCATGGATCCTGGTTTGCACCTCACCAAGGACATGTCTCCCAAAACATCCAGTGATGCTGCTTTGATGAAGGATATTCCCTACCTTGCTGCTGTTGGTGCTCTGATGTATCTGGTCACTACCACTTGTCCTGACATTGCCTACACTATTAGAGTCCTTGCCAGATATAACTCTGATTCTGGTCTTACTCACTGGAGCGCTGCCAAGCACTTGTTCCACTACTTGCAAGGCACCCTTGATCATTCCCTTGTCCTTGGTCCTGATCCCAATTCCACTGAACTCTTCACCACTTTCTCTGATGCTGATCATGGTGGTGACAAGGACTCTGGTCGTTCTACTGATGCCTATATTGTCAAGATGGGATCTGGTGCTGTCTCCTGGAGCTCCAAGCTTCAGAACATTGTTGCTCTGTCCACCACTGAAGCAGAATACATTGCTGCTGTTGAGGCTGGCAAAGAGATCTGCTGGATGCGAAATTTGTTGAAGGAAATGGGCTATCCTATCACCTCTCTTCCACCCTTCATATTGACAACCAATCTGCCATCTCTGTATCCAAGAACCCTGAGCACCATGGTCGGATGAAACACCTTGATCTAACGATGGCATTGGTTGAGAGATGTTGTTTGACAAAACCGGATAAACCCGGTCTCTGCCGAAGCAGCCATTGTTCTCTATGGAGCATAGCCACCACTCCATGGAGTAACCATTGTTCTCCTAGGAGCACAATTGTACTCCTAGGAGTCATTATACTGTAGCGAGTAGCACCTCCGACTATAAGTAGTAGGGGGTTTAGTATAGGAATACCTCAGTCGTTTCTATAGCCTCTCGGGCAGTGGCTGAGGTATGTTACATTACATTTATTAGAGATCACCTTAAACTAACATCTATTGTAGTTTCACTTAGGTAAATAATATAGCCGTTTCTATAGCCTCTCGGGCAGCGGCTGAGTTTCACTTAGTTTTATTATTGTTGACTCTGGGCAGATTGCTCCTACCTTTGTTCCCACTGCTGAGATACCTGCAGACTTGTTGACCAAAGCTCTTGCCAAGCCTAAAGTGGAAGTGTTCAGGAAGATGATGGGACTTATTAGATCAGGGGGGAGCTGATGCTTGGGAGGTGCAGCATCAGGGGGGAGTGTTAGTTTTGGTGATTCTGCACCTTTGTGCTACCTATATATTTTCATTCCTTTCTCTATCTATTCTTTTATCATTCACTATTGATTGTGTTCTCTATTATTTCGCCTTTGTGGCTGCTTTGTTTACCTTTGTTTACAAAACTTCGGATAGTACTGCAGAGTCCAATGCTTCCTATTCTCTAGTTACTCACATTGGACTCTAGGTACTGTATACCTGTCATACTCTCTAATAATAAAGTTACTCACATTGGACTCTAGTTCCAGTCCCTGATTGCTCTCAGCAAGTGGCTAGACACTTCCTTCAAGCTTTGTTCTTAATAGGGACAACTTGAAGCAGGTTTGAAACTCAGCAGCTCATCTGCTGAGACAGAGGTGGAGGGTATGAGTGCATTCATGGAGGGTGGAATGCATAATAGATGATAGCAATCTGTGTCCAATGATGTACAAGCAATTCCAGAATGCTCTGACTCTAGGGCAAGTCACTGAGGAGGGTTAAACCATGCAAAAGGGATATTATCCCCAGCCAGTCGCTTTTAAAAAGCCCAAAAATCAAACCATATGGTCCTATATATGCCAGTAGAATCTAATGGTGTCCAGTGGAAGTACATTTGAACCTACAGGTGAATCCGAGCCTGAAGGGCCTGAAAGGCCACAGGAAGTAAATCATGCAGGCAACAGACCTAAACCGATGTTCGTCACAAGTCTCATGCACCTCCGAACATGTGATCTTAAGTGTGACACTTGTCACACTCAAAATGGCACGAACCTAGCTCCATAACTCTAAAGTAATTTGGTTTGTCTGAACCATACGAATTAATTCCAGTGGGCTGTGAACAATATCTGGCTTTACTAGCTTACTAACTTAGGGCCTGTTCGGCAGCCACCTTTTCAAAACCCCACCAAAAAAAGTCCGTTTTGGAACAAGCTGACGTGTTTGGTGACACAGTTTGTTTTGAAATAGGCCTTTGATCATTATGTGGTCATGTGATGAAAGGCGTTACACAAACCAGAAAACTGCCTTCTTGTTCAATATATGAACTACTTGGTTTTTTTTTGCGAGAAAAGCTGGACTCAATAAGTAGGTAGATTAGAACTCAGAAAAAAATGATGCGATATTTAGGATGACGGTCTATTTGAAACCAGATTAAGATCAGAGATATTATCACTACACATATCGTCTCTTCTGCCTGATATCCGCATACGGGTCTCTTTTCGGAGGCCTACCAAACCTGGGCTCTTCGCATTCTACACAAATCACAGGACTGTCAGAACACGAACAACAGCAAAAAGAGCTTATGAAACTGACTCAGGGTGCCCTGATAGACGGAAGAAACACCTTCACTCCATACTTCTCTCCACATATGCGCGCCTCCACCGACACTGCCATCCAAGCCGTACTTATCCATGAAAGCTCTCACAGAAAATCCGAGACGTTCGTCCATCGACAATTTGGGTGCAGAAATTTCTGAGGACTGAGGGAGGAGGAGCATAACATAACGGTGATATGGTGTACCGCGTTGGGGATGAGGGGAAACGTAGGGTGTATGCTGGTCCAAGTTAGCTAAAGATGAAGTCGTGGCGGACAAGCGGACGTTGGGCCTGCAACAGGTTATCAATACAAGTAACGAGACCTTGAATATACATACTGAAGCCAGTGCAGGTATGTCTGGTATGTCTGGTTTGACACGTCAGGTACGTCTACGTATTGCCAAATAAACAAATAAACAAATAAACAAAGCAATGAAGTAGAGTGAGACGATACCTGGGTCAACCATCATCAAAGTATAAAGCCGTTCGTCTGTATGAAAGACAGTCGCATACAGCGTAGGGGCACTCAGAGTCTAATCACAAAGTTAGGATATGACTTCTAGCCTGCAGTTTTCACAAACCTGCTCCGCAGTGAGGTAAATGCCTGGCTCAACTTGAGCATATTTGGTGCCAGACTTGGAACTAGGCGTAGTATTTGTTGACGGCGCTTCTGGAAAGACGACACGGAGATCGAACGAAGGATGTAGGGAAGGAAGAACATCGGGAACAACATTCATTTGATGGATACGTTCCATCTACACCGAGTAAAAGAGCTATAAAATCATGTCTACCGCAAGAAGTGAAGAAACAAACCAGTAAATCCAGAGTTCCCTCTTTTCTCCATTTCTTCTCTACAATATGCCGGTCGACAGCTTTGCTCATATCAGCTAAGTAACAATATGTAAGCACTCCAGAGCGAAAGACAAAGAATCAAGGCCTCTACATACCTAGGCCATTTGTGCATTTCCATCTCACTTCAGGAAAGTTAACCTCGCTTTGAACGTCCAGAATACTCAACTTTTCCTTCATAACCTTCACCAAATCTTCGTCTTTCTCCGGAGCCTCCTCCACCTGCTTAAGTGCATCTTTCAACGACTCCACCTCTTTCTTCAGTAGAACCGAGTCCTCCTTGATGACTTTGAGGGCTTCGTCAAAAGCAGGCAACACCCCGAACGCGAGTGGTCTGTTCCATGTGCGAGGATACTCCGACGAAATTTTAGGACGACGTGTCTTTAAAGGTTTGACTTTCTTTTCTGATGGAGGTTGCTGGAGAGTGGCATTGCCTCTGGCGAAGGAGGATGACTTCGGTCTGAATCTGCGCACAGCGAACATCGAATGTACTTGACAGGTGCAGCAGATATGACTTTTACTAACTTAGGGCCCGTTCGGCAGCCTCCGTTTCAAAACGAGAGCCGCGCTCGTTTTGAACGACTCTCAGCGCAAACGATATTTCTCACGCTATGTCACACCATGTTACACGCATTTCAGGATTGTAGATTAAGTAAGATAGGCGTCATCCACAACCGACGCCATCACATGATGTGACTTGGCCTGTGACCACTGGCGCGAGGCAAATCACAACTTGAATTTTTGTCATCTTTGCTACAAAAAATCTATCCCGTCTTACGTGGCACCATTTTTTTTAGTTCTTCTTACAGTATTATATTTGTATTTACCGAATTTAGCTTTCCACTCAAACAAAAAACCATAAATAATTCATATCAAGCGAGAAGAGATAGCAATTTTCTGGTTTGTCACCAAGTGTAACACTTTTCATCACATAATCACATGATGGCATCAAAGGCCTATCTTATCTTATCAGTACTCAGTGGTGTGACAATCTCTTTTTAAAATGAACTATGTTGCTGAACACGTCAGCTCGTTCCGGAACAGGCCCATTTCAAAATAAAACAAGACTTTTTTGGTGGGCAACATTTTGAAATGGTGGCTGCCAAACAGGCCCTTGGTACTTTTTTATATGACACTGGACTTGCACAAAAAGTGCACATGCGATTGCCTACCCTTAACCTGCTAACCTGGCCCCCCAAAGCCTTGCACGACACACATATATCTCACACAGATGGTAAATCTGTGTGCACACATTGCAAATCCGAGCGCATATCAGACTTCCACCTGTATCATGCAACTAATCAATACACTATATACATTACTATAAGGGCTTGTAAGGGCATGGACCACAATAGGATAATGTTCAAAAGAAAGAAGAAAAAGAGTCAAGAACTTAATCATCGGATGAAGGCTCTGTAATTAGAGTGTCTATCAAATGATTGCAAACTTTTTGTACAAGCTGGTCTACATGCTTAAAAGCTGCATTTGATTTGACCACTCATAGCATGTTTTCTCTACAACCTTGACTCATCCGTCCAAACAAAAGTTTTTCAAAGTGTTTGACCGCATCATTGTAGGGTTGCTGGTTGCCAGTATCCAGCAAAAAATGGCCATACCGTTCCACCACACTTGCAGCCAATCCTTCTCACAGCCCTTGCAGTCCATGCAACTGGCTGCATGTTGGCCTTCAATTTCAGGTGGTTCACAAGCTATTGTGCGGTGGTGCTCATTGAGTACTTCTTTGGTGGTTGCCCAGGCAACATAAATGGTGAGTGGAAGGTGATTATATATCTCAGCTGCAGGGACATTATTTAGATGGGCGTTGAAAAGGAGGCATTGGAAAGCAGGGTAGAAATGCTGTTTGGCATTACATTCTAGAGCGAGTTTGAGGAGGTTGAGTGTTTCAACCAGTGCCAATTAAGAATTCTATGAATGGAGTAAGTTCATGCGTGCAAGCACATATACATAGAGGTTAGACAAAATAACACTGTTACTTCGCGATCTGAAATGCCATCTGAGTTAGACCACCTATAAGATCAAAGAAACATTGGTGTGAATAAATAGATATATTGAAAAATAAGAAACCTACTTGCCATAGCAAATTGCTAAAAAGGCCTCAAAGGTGGTAGCAGAGACATCTGGAAGTAAAATTGGCTGCTCATCACTTGCACCATCCACTGTGTCTAACTGCACATCCTTGGATGCAGCAAACATATCTCAGAAAGTTCTAGATGCCATTGGCAATATATCTCCATGCAACTTGTATAGTGTATTCTCAGCCTGGATATAGAAATAAAAACAAATTATAGGTGAATGAGTGCAGAACTTACCTGAAATATGTACGAGCCTTCAGCAAAGTAATACACTGTATGATGCTGCACAGATGACAACACTTGAGAGCTCTATATAGATAGCACATTGTCATTCTATTATAAAACTGAAAAAAAAACTGAAAAAAACACAATACCATAGTGTACAATGACTGACTGGAATGAGGGGAAATAATTCAGATTTTTCAGTGTTTCCTGCCCAGTCAGAGTTCCAACAGTCTCTGAAATATCCAGAAAGTCACTGTGAGAACCAGACCCTATACCGAACTAACGGAGGTCTAGTAATTGAATTGCAAGCAGGGTCTAACAACGATGTATATGTTACAATTGACGTACCAGTACCTACTTACACTTCACTTTTCGTATTTTTACTTTACTTTTTCCAAGTCACATGACCAGTCATGTGACCATTTACTTTACTTTACATTTTCGGACTTTTCATAGTCACATGACCAATCATGTGACACATCACCTGACCAAGTGTCTAGGCTCACCATGTGACGGGTCACATGCTAAAACATCGGACTTTAAACTTTATTTACAACTGTACAGTACCTCATGTATTTTAGTATATATACAGGAGCAATACATGGGGAAGGACTCAGCGAGTCCTCTTGTTGTCTAGCACAACAAATTTGTTGAAACCTAAGGGGTGATCCCTTCATTCTCTCTTCTCTCTTGCTTGTCTGAGTTGTGCGCCAGAGTAACAAACTCTTGGTTGTTACAGTATAAAGATGTAATCAACAGCTGGGGGATATGTACAAGAGGTAGCTGTATATATACTAGAGAACATGTGTTATAAATGAGGTACTGACTGAGCGACATGCGTAAGGCATGAGGCACTTGGTAATTGTCTTTGTAAGTGACTACATCATAGGTCACGTGTTTGATCATGTGACTATGATTAGATAAGATTTTGAGAGATAAGAGATATGATGGGTTCGTTATCAGTCAAAATTGAAGTGTCAGAAGTAAGGGATCATGACATTACCCCCTCCTTAGGACTCTCGTCTCGAGAGTATGCTTCTAGTTTACCGTTTTCCCAATTAAACAGGTTTTGTCGGATTTTCGGAGTTTCGGTGGAATTTTCAAATGCTTGGAAGTGTAATGCAAATCGGATTCTTCAGGGTGTACTAGGGTTTTTTGTGTGGAATTGTTGTAGGAGTTTTGGGGAGTTTTTTTTACGTTCCCTTTGGGTTCCCATGTGCGTTCCTCTTTAGGGTATCCTTTCCAATGTACTAGGTATTCTAATTTGTTCTTTTTATTCGTGAATCTAGTATCTCTTCCACCTTGTACTCTTTCTGTCCTTCCACTATCGCCGGTGGTGGCAGTTTTGGTTTTTGTTGTGATGGGAATTCGGCTTTTCAGAATGGGGTTAAAACCAATTTGTTGAATACTGGATGTACATTTCGCCACTTTCCGGGAAGTCGGAGTTTGTAAGCTCCTAATCCTACTTTCTTTTCTATCTCAAAAGGGCTGTGTCTTTTGTCATCAAGTTTCTTTGTCAGTCTGTCTGTTTGTATATGAGCGGCTTCTACATATACTTTATCTCCAATTTGGTACTCAATTGAATCTCTCTTCTTTTTGTCATATTGTTTTTTCATGTTTTCTGCTGCTTTATACAGTGATTTTTCTGCCGCCTCTCTGCTCTCCTTCATCCTCTCTACAGATTCCTCCAATCTTTTGCTCTTTACTTCTCTTTTAGTGTCTGTTATCATTTTTGGATGTTGACCATTGTTTAGATAGAATGGGGAGTAGCCAATCACACTGTGTTCTTTATTATTGTATGAAAATTCTGCGAGTGGTAGCCATTTTGCCCAATCTGTCTGTTTATGGTTTACAAATATCCTGGGATACTATTCTATCTCTTGGTTTACTCGTTCGGTCTGTCCATCTGTTTGTGGGTGATAAGCCGTAGATGGGTTTCCCTTAATATCTAAAAGGATGTAGAGATATTTGATAAAGTTCAAGACAAATTGAGTTCCACAATCTGAGATTACTTGGGTAATCCATGGTGTCTGAAGACGTTATCTCAGAATAATCTCGCTACTCCTTCTGATGTGAATTCTGCTTGCGTTGGTATTACTCAAATCATTTTTGAAAATTGGTCTACTACTATCATAATCATGTTGTAGCCGTGTGATTCTGGTAGAGGTCCTAGAAGGTCAACAGTTATGATTTCCCAAGGTCATGTAGGGATTTCATTTGGATGGAGTGGTGCCGCTTTTCTCTGATGAATTGGTTTGGTTTTTTGACATGTTTCACATCCTTCAACGTATCTTCTGATATCTCTGTCCATGTATGGCCACCAGTACTCTCGTGTGATGAGTTCTTTCATTTTGTATTGTCCTGGGTGGCTGGCTATGATAGAGTCATGATTTTCACGTATGATTTTCTCTCTGAGTTTTGCGTCTTTTGGGATATACATCCTTCCTTTGAAGGATATGAACCCTTAATGATCCTTCCACCATCTGTCCTCTTTTTTTTCTATTTTTTCTTTTACTTTCTTTATTAGGTCATCCTTGTTAGTCATCCTCCTTTTTATCCATCTATATGTTTTTACGTTTTCTTGACCTGATCTAGCCATTGCTTCTCTCTGTTCAGGTGTGAGGGTCATTCGTATAAAAAGTTATGCTTTTAGTACGATGATATCCTCATTGTCCTCTGCCCCTCTATCATGATTGGCTCGTCTCAAGAGTAGATCGGCTTTTATGTGTTTGGTTCTGGGAGTGTGGTGTAATGTGAATTTGTAATTGCTTAACTCTGTGACCCATTGTGCCTGTCTTCAATTGAGTTTTTGAGGTTGTTTGAAGTATAAAAGATTCTGGTGGTCTGTCCAGATCTCAAAATCCTCTTTTGCGTCAATCAAATAGTGTCTCCACTCTTCTAGTGCCGTCATAATGGCTAGGAGTTCTTTATTGTAAGTCTTGTAATTGCGTTCTGTTGGGTTTAACGCTTTTGAGAGATATGTGATAGGTTTCCATATGCCATTTTGTTGTTGTGATAGTACTGCTCCCATGGCGAAGTCGCTACTATCTGCTTCTACTTTGTACTTCCTGTTATTGGCTGGTAAAGCGAGGACTGGGGTGGAGCTGACTCTGTGTTTGAGTTCTTTGAACACTGTTTGTTGTTCCGGTCCCCATGTGAACTCTTCTTTTCCAGTTAATTTGGTCAGTGGTTTGGCGATCAACCCAAACCCTTCTATGAAGCGTCTA